TTGAAAGATTGGGAACTTGGTGTCAAGATAATTCAAATTTGAAAACTAGGAAGATAATTTAAATAATAGCAAGTTAAGTAAAATCCACGTTTAAATATTTCTCAGATTTGTTTCAATAAAAATTAAAAAATTGTCAATTAAAAGATTGGAAACTTGGTGTAAAGTAATTCAAGTTTGAAAACTAGGAAGATAATTGAAATAATAGCAAGTGAAATAAAATCCACGTTTGGATATTTCTCAGGTTTGTTTCGATAAAAATTGTCAATTGAAAGATTGGAAGCTTGGTGTGAAGTAATTTAAATTTGAAAAATAAGAAGATAATTAAGATGATAACAAGTCAAATAAAATCCACGTTTCAATATTTCTCAGGATCATTTAGAATAATGTTCTTCAGTATAATGTTTCGTTCTCGTAGAAATTTGAAGTCAAATTGAGGCTCAAAAGATGATAAGTTATGTTGACAGCAGGAGATATAACAAAGATGATGACAGGATATCGAGACGAAGTTCAATTTGTTTATTTTTAACATATCTTTGGCTAGAAATAAATCCTCAAGAGATTAGAAGAATATTCCTGCTTTGGTTCTTGAGAAAGTTTGGACTCAAATAATCCAGACTTAAGGAAAAATAAAATAGGTTGACACAAACGTTAGTTTGGTTCTTTTGAGTCTGGTTCGAATGATAATATTTGGTTAAGAGGTTAAAGGAACGTTTTATCTTTCTGGAAGTTTGAAAACAAATAAATCAAGCTAAGAGATGGTATATTTAAGGAACATATTACGACGACACATATACATACTTACCGAGAAAAGATTGGGAAATAAGGAAGTGATTTACGAATTTTTATAAATGCTTCGCCTCCTGAAATACACGCGTTTAAATTAAAAATAGAATGAAGAGATAACCAAAGTGGATGTATAAATTATACTAAATTCAAATACAAAATATTGCTCTCTCATCTCTTTATTTGTAGCAAATATTTATGTCAGCCAGTTAGACACTTTGCGACATCGACATCGACATCGCCTATTTTTAAGATTGCTCGACGAAAGAAAGAAAGAGGAATGCAAGGGAGATATTAAAAAAGGAGAATAACGAAATACCTACTCGACACGATTTATGGTATGAAAGGTCAACGATTACGAAGTAATCCGTGTTTTTCTCTCGGAGATCCTCCTCGTTTCTCGCGACTCACGATCACCCACACACCCGGCTCACTTTCGAAAAAATTCCGCTTAATTCAGTCGTTCTCAACTCTCCATTCCCGCTTTGTTATCTAATAACTCACCTTCTCGCTTTCATCGAATTTTATTCAGCTGCTGAAGCTGTTCGGCTAATGCTTTTAGCTGAAATTAGCTGAAATCCTTTGACAGCAAATAGCGGATCGTACTCGGAATGTCTACTCGTGAAGCGACTATAATGATTCAAACTCTTGGTCACGATACCCTTTTTACTCGACGAGTGCCAATTGACCGATTCATTTGGCAGAACGATCGATCCGCGGAATAAAAGACCATAAAAGCCATTTACTTTAAACGTACAAGCGTGATCGGTCAAGTTTGACAGTGGAATTTAAAAGAGATCCGAAGGTTCTATTAATCGTTCTGACCTGTGTAAGCTTCAATTACGGCAAATCGAAGAGTCAACAATAGGAAGGCGATTAAAATTCAACCACCTCTAACCTATTCGCTGTCAAGACTGACCCAGGACCGTGCCAACGAAGCGGCCACTTCTGCGTCAAGCTCGTCTCTCGTGATCTCGTATTTATTAACAAAAGTCCTCCATCACCTGGACGTTCGTTCCTCAGACTCGGATTTTACCGTAAAAATCCATTAATCATAAATTTGACCGTTCTTGCGTCACGCAACGCCTCGCGTCTCAAAGTCCTACGCCAACGAGACGGAGGCAGACCGTTCTTCGAGGCGAAAATTTCACCAAGGATGATCGTCAAAAGTCGCTTCTTCTTTCTCCTCCTTTTCCATCTTCCGCGGCTTACTTATTTTCTCTCTTTTCCCTGCGAGATCGCGTGCGTGTCGCCGACGCGGAAAGACGCTGTCGCAAGCAGAGCGTACGTGTAACAGGCTCGCGGCGCGTTTGCCGGTCCGTTGATCGTACTACGTGAACGAGACGAGAGGGAAATCGAGGTTGTAAATAAGGTTTTCGGTGCGTAACTCGCGGAGTCGAGATTGCAATAAAACGTTGATCGGAGCGGGGAAAAATTCTTGTGCCTGATCCTCGAGCGAATCCGCTTGCTGCTCTTGATCTTTCATGGCCTTTCTCTCTCTCTCTCCCTCTCTCTCTCTCTTTCTGTCCTTAGTTCTCTCTCCTTCTTTCCGTCTCTTTCCC